CGCCATCATCAGATTTAAAATTTACACAAACTCATGATTGGTAAAAATCAACGTTCTTTTAGGTCTTTGCCTTCTTGAAACCTTAAATTTATCTGAATTCTTCTTCTCTTCCTCGATAAATTCATTTAAAATCTTGCATCAAGTTAGGGTATTTTGGTAACTGTTTTACACATTATCTTAGCGACAGAGGATCAGTACACTCATTTCGGTTTTATTTAAAGCCGTACATTTTATTATTCCTTCAGTCATTCCATTACTGTCTACAGCGATTAATCTTCCTTGTGCTTTTATTGGAAATAAATCAAATCCATTATGGAATAAAACCACGCAGCAGAAGAGATTTGGATGGCGAAAAAGAATGTTTTAACATGCGAATTCTCTAGCGTGACGAGTTATTGAGTGTGTATGCTGTTATTCCTTCGGACTTTAGAAGAAATGAGCTTTTTGTTGCCACTTCAAAGTTTTATTAGTTGCTTATTTCAGTCATTCTCTACAGATTAACAAAGTTTCAATGTTTCAATTGATAAAACATGTTTTTTTTTTCAAAAGAAATCTGATTTTTTTACTTCTTTTGACTGATCTGATTTAGCCTTTTTAAAAGTTCTTTTGATACTAAGTATAAGAGGATAACTAAGTAAAAATAGGTTCTATAAAAAAAAAGAAATATTTAAACTTCGACAGTTTGTCGAAAGTGCATTTCTTCAAGACGGACTATTCTTGCTCTAAATACAGATAATAAAGAAATTGCAGATTAATGATCCACTATGGAATATGAAATTATCGCAAATTTAATGCAGAATTCAGAAATGAACCGAGCATTTTGGTGTTCATCTGAAAATTTAGGTTTGTAGTGCTTTTATGAGACGGAAAAATTGGGAAACACGCTATTCTAATTTTTTGTATATTTTTTATTGTTTAGACGCATTTGAACCAAAAAATCATAGAAGTTTAGATTATTGTTATTGCTAAGTTAATTTTTTTTACGTAAACTATTCAAAAATAAGTGTGGAAATTAAAATACAGGACGTTACTAAAAGTATAGACTTTAGCTAATAACTAGGTACGGAATGAGCCGCTACTAACCACAAATTTGATCTTCTATATACAGGGGGAGGAAATGCACATATTCAAAACTATTTTGATTTATAACTTGAGGAAAGTTGACATATTTTTTTCACATGAAATATAAACTTAATTACAAAAACACACGGAGTAGTAGGCCCTTTTTTCTGCATGGGTTGAGCAAATCCGAGTGTTATTTTTGTGTCTCCAATTGCAGTTTTTTTTTGAAAAACTTCTCTGAGATTGTTGATCGCAAATGAAATGTGTAAGCAAACTTTAAATTATAATTCCCGTAGGAATTTGAAAGTCAGTCAACAATTTCTATTAGTTTCTCTTACTTGAATTGACGGGCGTCCCATCTGATTTTGCTCTTTGGCAGCAGCTGCTTGGACAAGCTCGTGTAGATTCAGACGAGGTTCGGACACATGGGACGTTATGCAAGAGGTAATGATGTAATCGGGAATGGTAGGAAATTGGGCTTTTAGCTCATGGAAAATCTGCATAATTCGGACATTCGATGACCTCCGTTTTGACCCGGCAAACATGGCCGGCCATTATGCTGTACCTGAAGAAAGAAAAACATTTATTATTTTTTTCTGCTGGCAACAATGTGGTACGTTACTTTGGCCTAAGAAATTCGCATATAAATTTCAAAAACAACCCAGAACCCAATTGAATCCCTGACAACTTGCCCTTTCTAAATATGGTTTATCGATAGCAGAGTGATAGATAGCAAGTGGCTTGATTCCGGCAATTTCGGATGAAGTTACATAGTTACTGGCCAAAATTCAGTTCTAGGGAATTGTTCTTAATATTCAGGAAAATTAATTGTATTCCAATTTTTTCCGATGACTGAATTGCTTTTTGTAAGAACTGAAATAAACCCATTGTGCCAGTAGTGACCATTTTCTAAGTTGGCAATCGAATTAAAAACTTTGGGGGCCTTTAAACGTGTTCTGGAAGCTTTCAGGAAGCAAATTTGGA